CTAACTAGAAGCCTGGTGGTTCAAAGCCACCAGCCACTCCTCACAAGGAAGGTTGGGCAATCTACTTCCATAGTGATACTGCCTCAGAAACTCAAGGAGGGGTCGCTATGAGTTGGGTCTGACTCGATGGCACGTAACAACAAAAACAGTTAAAAACAAAACAAAACATCAACAACAAACACCATCTTACCTATAAGGAAAACTGCATAAGAACCTTCTGTAAAACAAAGAAGCTACATCGTGGGTTTAGCTTGAAAAGAGAAGAATGGGGCATGTTTGTTCTGGGACTCATTTTCTTGCTAAATTCCATTGGAAGAGGGATGTAAAGTGTATCATCATTTTATGCTTCATAGGAGGAGATGAGAGATTGGTTTAGGGGAAAAATCATTTCTCTCTGAAGAGCTGATTTAATACTGTTGATTGGAACCATTTTAAACTACCCAGAAACAGCAGGGGGAACAGACGGTGTGATACTTTCATGTTTATAGAGGAAAGAGGCTGCCTTTCTTACTTGAGTGCTCTATGATAAGAAAACATCAAGCACCTAATTGTGCTTTAAACCACCCTCTTCCACCTCTACCTAAAGAAAAGCATGGGTGACATACCCAATTTTTGTGAGAACGTGGTTGTTTCTCAAGATGGAGAGATGAGGAAAATCATCATGCTTAAGTGAAGGCACTGAATTACATTATTCAACCTGTACCTTCCTGCTGCTTCAAGTGAAATTGCTAAGGAACTTGAAGTACCATTTCAAATTGTTAGTTTTCCAGAGACACCAACAAATCTTTCCTAATAAAGAATAGATTCCTTGCTCTGGGCTCCATTGGGGTTGATGAATATTTCCTTTAAGCCCAACTCAAGCCATCTCTGGGACCACCTGTCATCCAATTTGTGTGTTCCTGAGACTCCACCCCCACTCCCAGGCAACTTAACCTCTAGAGGTATAGAATGTCCCTCTACTAAGTCACACAGGCTTTTGACCTTTCCCAGCCAAATGTAGTAAGTGAGAGCAGGTCCAAAAAGGCTCATGGAAGGAAGGAGAGGGCAAAGGACAATTCTATTGAGCAGGGCAGAAGTGATGTCCTCAACATTGGGGGTGAATATCCGAGAAGCTCCAGGGCATGTGCTTGTGTATGAAATGTGGACTGGAACAGGAGTTCTGGGATGTCCGGGTTAGCTGGCATCCTGTGCTGATTGTTGACTTGACCTAATTAAAACCATCACAAAGGTGCTTAATGTAATTTCTTGGTGCTTTAATGTTCTAACAGAATGTAATCTGGCAAAAAGTCTTTTTTTCCTGAATTCAT